CTGCCCACTTGTGGTTTTCTAACTCACGTGCATGGTGATACAGACACGCACGTGTTTCATCCTGCCCACTTGTGGTTTTCTAACTCACGTGCATGATGATACAGACACGAACGTGTTTCATCCTCCCACTTGTGGTTTTCTAACTCACGTGCATGGTGAAACAGACACGCACGTGTTTCATCCTCCCACTTGTGGTTTTCTAACTCACATGCATGGTGATACAGACACGCACGTGTTTCATCCTCCCACTTGTGGTTTTCTAACTCACGTGCATGGTGATACAGACACGCACGTGTTTCATCCTGCCCACTGGTGGTTTTCTAACTCACGTGCATGAAGATATAGACACCCACGTGTTTGCCCTGCCTACTTGTTGGTTTTTAACTGACATGTATTGCACTTGTGATTTTCTAATCCTAACATAAACACCCACGTCGGCGTTTGGCACTGTCCACTTTTGATTTAGTCATTGTTAAGACAAATTAATTTTTTTATCATGTAATCTAGAGAAAACAGAAATATTGAAGCCAACACACTCTCTCCTTTGTCATATGGAAAAAATAGAATTTCGTATTTTCTATGCGCGTATTTTTAAAAGAGTCAACGAGATAAGAAAGTGAAATTAAAGTGCTGGTCTTAGGAAAATATTAATGAAGCAAAAAAAATCCCAGATTTTCTATATGCTCAAATAGGTTATAATGTTCACCAATAAACAATAATTGGTTCGAAAAAGAAACTTTTCCCGTCTGAATTCTACTTCCGAAAATTGTTCAAAGCTCGTCCGCCATTTCTGTGAGCAGCGATTTTATCGTTGCATTTTAATATATGTGTGACGTCATACGCGCAACTAGCATCCTTTTTATCCACACTGACTCTACAGCATTCTCTGTAAGAAGGCATGACTTGGCTTAAGGCTTGTTTCTAAATCAAAAATATTCGAAATTTGGTTGCAATTACACATTGTGAAAAGCCGCGAATTTTGAAAGGTTGCGCGTATGACGTCACTTCCTTCGAATCACTAAAAGTTGCCAGGAACGCAATCGCTTAATGGCGGACTCAAACGGCCAAACTTTACTGGCTAAATAAAGCATCTTCCCAGTCTTGTATCGAAAAAGAATTTGGACAGTGAGCTATATTACATATCTAGTTTTATATGGTACAATTTCCAGGGACGGTGTCATTTTCGTAAGACTAGCACTTTAAAGTTCGTTAGATGAAATCCTAAAGAAAAAAATCATTTTGAATATTAGTTTCAAACTAAAATTACTCTTACAATTCACACAATATCACGGAGGGATAAAAAAGAAAAGAAAAAAAACGGAGGAAAAAAAAAAACGGATAAGAAGAGGGAAAAGAAAAAATGGTAAAACGCGCTCGTCGGGAAATGGTAGAAAATTAACAACATATTAGACAAACTCAACTAACATTAGTTGTGTAGTTCATTTCAGTTTTTTTCC